AGATCGCATTGAGTGCCGGTTTAGAAGGCAAAGGCAGCACATAGGTAATGAGGTCATCGTGGTGAAGGTCGAATACACTATCAACTACTTCCCCAATTCTGCATGGAATTCAAGTGCGCGGCTCATCAGAGACCGATCAATTGCCTCTAAGCGCTATGTCTTTGTCCTCTACATGAATAACGGCGCTGCACGCAATTTCGGAGACCTCGCGATATTTTCTTTGTGCACAGAGGACAACAGGTAATTGTTACAATTAAACAGAGCTGTAACTGTGCTCATTATGGCAGATACCAGGACAAATTACGTGACGAGCTCATAAATCAAACAGGCGAACCTTTATGGTCATACATGCCACTTCGTGCAATGCCATCGAGAGTTGCACAGCGCTGAAGATCTTCGGCCGGCCAAAATTATCGTATTCGCGGATCTGCAAGTACTTGTCGTTTTGTCACACCTGTACCAGTAATTACTCACGTAATCTCGCGAACAAGACATCTACTCATTACTCACTTCGCCCTCCATTACCGTACTCCGAGCACAGTGCGGGAGATCGTCGATGATCCCGGCTGATATCCATGTGACGAGGTAGAGGCATAAAACTATCCGCATCTCCTCCACCTTGAACAAAACGTTGAAAACAAAAACAACAAACAACAAACAGAACTTAAACGTTTAATGAATAAGAGGAGAAAAATAGAGACGAAGGAAGGATCAATGAAAAATGAGTTGAAAAATGAGGAAAGATTTGATGATGCCAATAATGGAATTTGGAGTGGAACGTTCGATGTTCGGACCAGGATAGCCTTGGCTGAGCGCCGCTTTCACTGCCGAATTTGCATAACAACTCTCAGTCAATTAAACACTTAACCATCATCGCTCTATCAGTCACCGTGTGACATGCAAACAGTGCCCATCTACGGATCTGGCACTTGGCTAGGAGATCCTGAGAACCCCAGGAGGGCTGAGTTGGACAGCAGACCTCACAAGAATTATTCTCTGTAGAATGTTATCACATTACCACGCTAACGAAGGGACCAAATATCTACCTACCAAAATGAATTATTTTGTTTTGTTTATAGTTACATTGTTTTGTTTAGTAAACGACTCTTCAACAACCCTTCGAAAGGTTATTTCGAACCTGAAGTTAGGTTTTTTTAATTTTTATATCAAGGAGTTGCGAAAGAGTGTTTTAGCTATTCATCTCAAACGTGCTTAAAAAGCGACAAATGAAAAGCACTGCGAATTGGTCCCCTTCAGAGAGTTTTGGGTTGCTATAGGGTATCATAGTTGACGATAGAAGAAGGGAATTTCAACTGGACCTTTTTAACTGTTGAACGAAGGCTTTTTCTGGTGATAGTAAATCCTTAGAGCATCTTGAGAGGTTGCGATCCTAATTTTGGTCAAATTACACGCGCAATTTCCATAAGAATAATGCGGTTTGGGCCAAATCTTGCACCCAGACCGAAATCGAACCGCACCTTCTCGTTCGCCGGCATTTCGGTAAAGCACTCAATCTTATAACATTATAACCCTGAGAGAGCTATGAATTTGGTTGGTCTGGGATACCTAGGCCCAGGTGAGGTTGATTACCGAATAACTAGGGAGCACATTAGTGTGAACAAGTGTTTAGATGTGGTCGCGCACGGGAGGTTCGTGACCTCGGGAGCAATTCCAGGGCCTTTTCCTACTCCGAAGTAAGGAAGACACTGTGTAAACACTTCCTCACCGTACATGTATCAAAGACGTTCCGAGGGTACCCGAGAAACAATAGGTGAGCGGTACTAGGCGATAACTGGTTGCATGGGATCTCGTGTGGGAGCCTACCCCGCAAAAAAGGATTAATTTTTATCGGAGATATGGTCATGCCCAAAACATTCCGTAAAAATGGCCATTGAGCGGTTCGCTTAGAGAGCTAGGGGCATGGGATGTAAGGGGTATGGGCAAGAGACCAATTGAGCGAGAAATTTTCGGCGACGTTGGTAGGCAACTTACTTCAGGGATGGGCGTGAGATGAAATGAGCGAGGAATTCCGTCTTATGGGCAAATATTAGCGGACCAGTGATGTTGAAAAAACGCGCGAATGAATGATAAAGTGTTTAGAGAAAGTTCTGATAGATCGGAGCATGAGACTTTCAGTACAATGTGCCACCAAATTGGAGGGCTACGTAACCCTGAGCCCTGAGCATAAGCAATAGTCAGTGCCGGCGACAGGAAGCTCATCTCTCCCACGAATTCACACCGTCGCTATCACAGGAATTCTCTTAGACATTTCTACAATATAGAAAATAAGCCACAGAATACCATATGAAGATATCAAGAAATAGTTGGCGTGGTGCCAAAGCAAGAATCAATGTAAAAGTCGGAATTCTGTCGAAACTCTCCAACCACGGAGAATTTCCGACTAGGTCAACACCGGAATTGCTGGAGTTCAAGAAGTTTCAAGCGTGAATGTGTTGGCTGGGTGAATTGTGGTTGCAAGAGAGGGTGTGACACGAAGGAGTCGCGATGGTCAAGGGGTTTTGGCGCGATCGTGGTGTTTAGACAACACTTGATGCAACGCTCATGCACTACGTTATTACATAATACCAGACTGTCCGTCCGGGGCCTTGCACCCTTGGCTCGGCGAAAACCCCCTGGCCGGTAAGGGTAAGATGGTAATGACGTCATGGTGAGGTATATGGTAGGGAAGGGACACGGTGGGAAGCGATACAATACGTTTTGACTCGCTTTGGATTTCTCTCGGATACCTCAATTATCAGGTATGGCTAAATTTAGAGAGTATGAAAGGCCATCGGTCGAAACAGCCACGAATTCACGTCATCCGGACTTCCGATGGACAATATGACACATTATGGTCGAAAGAGTGAAGAGAATGGCGGGGGGCATTGTCGCACAAGAGCCGTTGAAAAGCGCCGAACGGTGGTGCCCTGAAGAGCGCGAACTCTTTCGAGAGTTCCGACCGCTATGACGACGACGAATCAGCTCATCTCAGTGAGATACATCTCAGTGTCGCTTTCCGTCTCAGATAGATAGGCATCTCTGAAACAGCCACTTCTTCATCCGCTCCAACAGGTGGGCCATCCATCGTCTACATGAACTCTGTCCACAAAAACCGATGCGATTAATGAATAAGAGTGTGAGTGTGATATAATTTTACACACATAATGTTTCTGGACATAGCCATGTTTCTGGAAACGCTAACGGACTGAAACTGTGAAGTGAAAGTGTCTGGGGTGTGAGCAAAGTTCGGACGGAGGCGGCGTCGGTGGCATGGCAAAGCGTCGGCCCTGGTTTCGTGAGTAACACACCACACGTTGTCCAACACCACAATACTGTAAGAAAACGAGTTGCGCTGAGTAAGAAGTTTCACTGTCCAAGAACACCTGCGTGAATTGTCACCCACCCAGCAAGACTGTCTTACCACGACAGAAATCTGATACTACTGCTACTCCGAAGTAGTACTACTGACTAGTCATAGAAGAACTTCTTGAATGTACGAGAATTTCCGCGGAATGCTTACTGGCCAGAATCCAAGGAAGGCAGACATGACCTCATTGCTTCTGGGAAGCCGAGAAGCTAGCTTTTAAAGAGATAATTCCAGAAGGCCTGAAGAATGCTTTCTGGAACGTTCGGAAAACAAAAGAACAGAATTCGCGGAACGGTCCTGCCTTTAGCGGTGCGCCACGCATTCGACTTCCGTTGAAGATCATACAGCCACTTGAAAGTGTCCCTCTACACTTACTTGAATGTGTCTGTGTGCTGCTCAAAGGTTAGTGGAGACAAGATTTTTGGCAAATTGGTGTTTTGCCCTTTCAGCAAGTATAGCGTTAACAAGCTGACCCAACGAAGACTTCAAGGGAGGGAAGCTCGGAATGAGTTTCAGAGGTTCCATTCTAGCACGAGATGCCGCAGAACTCATTTGAGTATCACTTTGAGTCGGCTCATTTTGTCGTTTTTTAAACTAGGTCTATTGAGTTATATTTGAACTGATCAAATTACATGGGGAATGGGTTACTACATGAGAAGGTTAGAAAGGGACCGTGATGCTTTGTCGACTAAAAATGCTCTGAAAAACCATGACTTCTGGCTTGAAAACCCTGCACTACCACTTTCTCCACGCTCCTATGGGAAGAACGTAGGCCTTAACTTCACTGCACAAATTCAGAGGTTCACTTCACAATCTAACGAGAGCAGGCATTTAGTGTTCGTCAATTTTGGCCATTAACGGTGTGCACACAGAGTTTTGAAATTCATCATCTATTGATCGAAAGGTGTCCAAATTATAAACATTAACTGAGTCTATTGGTATATTAAAATGACGCATGCATGCGATTTTACAACGGAGAAATGAGCAAGATGTTCAGATAACACATACACACAGCTGGGAGAACACACTGGACTATGATGAAGATAAAAGTGTTTTGAATGGTGGATATGTGAAAAAAGGAGTGAAAGGAAGATTGCTCATCTCGGGCACGTAGGGAGGAGGAACCCCTGTCTTGAGCTGGAGCACCAACAGTCTGCCAACACACGTATAACCATAAGAGGAGTAGAAAAACTGAGGAGCTATAATATTGGCAGCAATGTTGGCAACAATTTTCTTTGCAGCTGTCATATGTAGAAAGAGAAATAGCGTCGCGATCGAGAATGAAGCCACATGGAGACTGCTCGCTGTCGTGGTTCGCATGGCAATTAAAAACCTCATGTTTCTGGACACGATGGTTGGAAGCACGACACGCGGCAAGTCAAAGGTCATTTCCAGGCTAGGCACAGGTCTGAACATTTCTCCAACGCCTACCAAGGTAAAAGAAAGACACATAAGGTGAAGCTATTGCATATTTAGACACCACTCAGTATTTCCTGTCAGCTGATCTCATCTAATGAGAACCTCCATCTGAGGACAACCTCCCAACGGTGTCCAAACATCCCAAAAGATGTTCGTAACGACATGAGAATGAAGTGAGAAAGGGGAGTGTTTTTTGATTCTGCAAGACTTATTAGAAATCTTAACGGAGCTCAAAGGGACCATTTGCAGCAACTGTAATATCCCGCTATGGGGTATGGCAGAGCTTTCCAGCTGGGCTGTGCCTCACCAGCAGCCTCGCCAGACTCTCCCATATCTAGTGAAGCTGTCAGTGGAGCACATTTTCAGTCGTATTCGGCTGTCACTCACCGAGCTCATCTAGCTTTTCCCCCACGTGACCTCAACAATCTTTGATTCAACTACTGCGACCTCCAGAACCCTAATCCTTCTGAACATTTCAGCGGACTTATCTAGC